CAGCCCATTCCTTCCTCCCAACAACATGTAAAGTGTGACATTATTATCCCCATTTTACAGAGGCAAAAACTGAAGTTCAGATAATATCCCTTGCCTCTGAGATTTCATTTCCTTCTATTTTATTCCTTATTTCCATTCCCAGTGTCACTGTGCTCAATGAGTCAGGAACCACTGTACTGGGAACATCGAGTGTGGGAGGATAAGACTGTACTTTCTTTTGTTTTCCTGTCTTATTGTTGGAATGCTTTGTTTCTTAGTGTTTACATTTTTGTAATTTTTGAGTTTTTAAACCCTAATTTGCTAAAAGTAAATGTAGACATTAGTTAATATGCCATCTCCTATCTTATTCACTGTGTCAAACAGTGGGAAGCTGTGGACTTTGTCATTATTACTTTTTATTATGCATTAATTGCATAAAACCTTGCCTTCTTCATTCATCAGAGACGCCTTATTTAATCCACTAAATTAATCTTTGACCAAGTTTCCTGGCTTGCAAGATCTCCCAGAGGAAGGGAGACGAATCTCTGTGTGGTAACCATGTCCTTCTACCTCCAGGCCTCTATGTGGATTCAGTTACTGACAGGCTACATTCCTATCTGGGTTTGTCAGGGATATCTGGCCACAGAATAAATTAAAGGACTTCAGGGAGGTGATTCCAGCCCCCATCTCTCTAATTCCATTCTGTCCAAGCTTCTTTTCTTCTTTTTCTGGTGATGCTGTCACATCCCTTCAGCCAGTCTCTGACTTGGGCCATAGCTGTGGCAGCTGATCACACATGAGCTCAGATAATGACCACAGGCTGACTGCCTGTCATTTCAAGAGCATACTGCACATCCCTTTGCTATCTGCCCAGAACTTCTCCAAACCCACAGGAGACAGCTTGGCCTGAGCTCAAAAACAGTCCAGAAGGGCAGGGAGTTAATGCCCCCTGGGGTGACGCTCAACTAATGAGAGTCAGGGGCCAGTTAATATTAATATATGCTCCAGTCTCTGATCCCTCCGCTGACAATTTTCTGTGCTACTCCCAGTGGCAACAAGTTGGCCTTACCCACAGCCGGGATTTTGAAAACTTACCTCTTTGGTTTTCCCTCCTTCCCTGAGGCATCACTCACTCCCTCTTCTCTGCTCCCCTATCACCTCTCACATAAACTGCTTTCACAGAAGTCCTCATTTGGGCTCTGTTTTTTGGAATAAACATTTACAGGGGTGAAGATATTTCCCCTTCACCTTAAGCATAGCCTGTGAAGAGTAAGGTGCCCATGGTCACCTCTAGAAGAAGCTGCAAGTTATCACTGAGAAGGTCATTGGTGTCTCCAGCACCCAATAGTGAGTGCTTGTCAATATTTGTCTTCAGGTCACCTTCTAAATGCCTTAAAGTTGGAATTGAATTATGACCTTTATAATAACCTGCAGTGAAGAGGGCCATGCCCAGGACAACTTTAAAAGGACTTGTTGAGCAGTGTACCTGGTGAGTACTATTGAACCACCACTTCCTGACATGGAAAACTGCAGCATTTTTGTGGACTCAAATGTTTAACCCAGATGGGGTCCTAGAACTCCCAGCCTGATAATCTACTTTTACCATTTGAACTTGAGGGAGTTGTTCAAGGCTGCACAGCTGGTTAATGGGAAAGAGAAGTCTCTGGGAAAGCAGTTGCCTACCCCTAAATAAAAATGAGTAGAGGCCGGGTGTGGTGGCTCACGCCTGTAATCCCCAGCACTTTGGGAGGTCAAGTAGGGCAAATCACCTGAGGTTGGGAGTTCAAGACCAGCCTGACCAATGTGGAGAGACCCTGTCTCTACTAAAAATACAAAATTGGCCAGGCATGGTGGTGCACGTCTGTAACCCCAGCTACTTGGAAGGCTGAGGCAGGAGAATCGCTTGAACCTGGGAGGCAGAGGTTGTGGTGAGCCAAGATTGCACTCCAGCCTGGGCAACAAGAGCGAAGCTCCATCTCAAAACAAAGCAAAACAACAATAACGACAACAACAACAAAAAGAAAAACAAGTAGAAGACAAGGCCCTTCCAAGTCCGTTTCATACTTTGGGCCTCTGTACTTGTTATTGTCTTCTACTGGACTGTTCTCTCTGGCTTCTTGTCTTTCAGACTGAGCTCAATTGTGGGCTCCTTAAGGGCCTTTCCTGACCAGACAACTTAGAACAGCCCATCTCTCCAGACACTAAGGCATCACCCTGTTTTGTTGCTTTCATAGCGCGTATCACTACCTTGGGATCTTTAGGTCCAAATAAGGTATAAAAATGATATTATTCTGCTTATTGATTTATTTACAAGTTTATTGTGAGCTTGTTCTCCACTAGGATCTTGCCTGTCCTAGTCCCTGCTTTATTCCAAGGCCAGCATATTGTCAGGGCCCCATATTTGAAGAGAAGACATGACAGCTATCCATAGACTATTCCATTAACCTCATTTGCTGTTTTGAATACACAGTTAACCATTGGAAAAGAGTCCTGCTTTCTGGGTAGTTGAACCCATAGATTAACCCTTCTGAACCCTTGGCATAGCTTAGACCCCGGAGTACTGAGTTAGGCCTGTTGAGTACCCATTCATGGTCCAGTCTTTTTTCTGGTGCTTTTCACCCTAAGCACATGAAGGGGTCATAGAAGCCGTCAATGTCATCATGACACACAAGGCGATAGGGAAGGGAAATAAAGGAATCAAATTTTCTTCATCCTCCCCTTTGGCATACCTTTAGCTTGGGTATGTTAAGTGAAGTGAGACTGAAGGAATGGAGGAAAGAGATTTGAAAATAATGCTTAGTCTGTAACCCCAGCTACTTGGGAGGCTGAGTCAGGAGAATCTCTTGAACCAGGGAGTCAGAGGTTGCAGTGAGCTGAGATCGCCCCACTGCACTCCAGCCTGGTGAGACTTTGTGACAGGAAGGATGGAAGGAAGGGAAAGGGAAAGGGAAAGGGGAAGGGGAAGGGGAAGGGGAAGGGGAAGCGGAAGGGGAAGGGGAAGGGAGGGAGGGAGGAAAGGAGGGAGAAAGGGAGGAAGGATGGAGGGAGGAAGGGAGGGTGAAAGAAAAGAAAAGAAAAAGTGCTTAGACCTGGCTTTACAGCTTAGTGGAGAAGCGGAAAAGGAGTCCTAATGGTCACACATGGTCAGATTAGCTTGCCAGAAGAATTATAGCTGTGCATTGCAGCTCATGCAGCTTGTGCTACATATTCTCAGAAACCTCAAATGCAGTGTCAGGAAACAGAATAAGAATGTGGTCTGGCAAAAGAGAGAGCAGAGAACCACATCATAAAAGCAGAAGGCACAGTGCTTCCTTACAATCATTTTAGATGCTTCTAACCTGATGGCATTGTCACAGCTTTTTCTGTATTTACTGACATCTTTTTCACCTTATGGCTGCTGAAATCACCCTGAAATCTTGTGTGTTTGCTGAAAATTAGGCTAGCTTGTAAGGAAAACCCTACAATTTTTTCTCTGTATACAAATTGGAGCTGAATAGATTGGTTTAGTAATGAGGAAGCCTAAGCTCAGAGATCTCAACCAACAATCATAAAATTTTACAACAGGAAATGGCAGTTTTTATTTGAAAAAAAAACTTAAGTGAAATGATCCTTCATCTACGGTATGTGCCAACAGTCCTAATAATTCTGTGAGTTCTGATTGCGAGAAGAAAAATTCATTAAGATGTTTATACATTGATTTCCTTCTGAGGTACCACAGAAGGGCCAGCAGGCCAGAAGCAAATGATCAAGTGGGTAGACATGGAGGCAGGGCCTCCCACTGCCCTTGACTGTATCTACAGGGTGAAGATAAGCCAACTAGAAGAAATACGATGCAGCAAGTACTTGGGAGAACTGGCATTTAATAAATAATTACTGCTGCCTTTGGTCTCTCTGAGAGTTACTGATCAACATCTGCTTTTTCCCTAAAGCTCTTTTTCCTTTCCCTTCTATTATTTATTACTGGACTCTTACTTATCAAATGCATACTTAATATGCACTGGATAATAAAAGATTAATGAAATATGGTCACTGTCCTTAAATGCATTTGTACTGTGTGGAGGCAGGTAGACATATCAGTAATTATTACACCCCCATAAATAATGACCCCTTTTTGAAAATGGCCTAATCAATTATCACACGCTGAAGTGCTAATGACTAATAGGTAACAGCACAAATTATTAACAGCTCATAGGAATATCAGCAACCAAATAAGGGATCATGCCTTCATGCATGGAGCTTTGAGGAACTTCTAGTGTTTGTGTTTTCACTATTATGGTATATCATAGCCCATATATTAATATAGGGTGAAAACTGGGAGCATCCCAGGCTCCCGGGAGGGCTATTATGCAGAGGGAATTATTTTAACACTGGCAGACAGGCTCCCTGCCCCACCCAAAATATTGCCTTGGCTGACTCTTTGTTAATGTTCTCAGTTGCAACTCTTTATAATGAGATGTTTTTCATAAATGCATAAAGTGGAGCGATATATCATTTTATGGTATCACCTAGTTACAGATCTACTGAAAACAGCTTAGTACAATTTGTCCTCAATCCAGCTTAAATGACTAATCCTGACATTGTGCCACATATCCCCCAGCACTGGAGGAACTGCAAAAGGAAATCTACCACAGCTATAACCTAAGTAAACCCAGCCTTTAATAGGTATCATATTAAGCCATAAGAATCATGATTTCATAAGTTTAGTACCTGCTATAATAATATTGGAATTAGTCTTAGAGCAGGGTTCTACTCCCTGCTCTGTTAATTATCTAGTCTCATGGCCTTGAGCAATCCACAAAGCTCTTGCAGTCCTCATCTATGAAAATGAAGACCATTAGGTCCCATGAATCCAAGGTCCGATCTACCTCTTACTTTGCAGAGTAGCTAACGTTGATTCAATGCTTAGAAGGAACAAAAACTTGTTATTTACTCTGGGTTGGACTCATCATCTAGGCATTTCCTCATGTATTTCCAAATTGTAGTTTGTTCTTACTGACATTCAAATGAACTTGACAACTTACCAAATAAATTTTCAGAAAAAGAAAATTCATCTGTGGCAGGTAAATGGGAGTGTTCAATGAGATTCATTTTTGATCCCATCCAAATTTTTCAAATGAAATGCACTTTCTTTATGGTGGTCTTCAAGAAAAGCTCCTGAAAGGAAAATAAACAGAGAATTTATAATTGTGGAGATGGGAGAAAGGGTTGGCTAGGAGAGCTAGGGAAGAAGAGAGCGAGATAGTTTATAAAAGTACAAATGGCTCCCTTTGAATGCCTTTTACTGTAGCCTTTCTGTGTGTATCTTTTCTCAATAGTTATTTTTATGCCTTATTTGGACCTACGAATGCCCAAGATATGTGCTTTCATAAGAGATACTCTCTAACTTATCTGAAAAATACGAGGTGGACAGATCATGAGGTCCAGAGATCAAGACCATCCTTGCCAACATGGTGAAACCCCGTTTCTACTAAAAATACAAAAATTAGCCGGGTGTGGTGGCACGCACCTGTGGTCCCAGCTATTTGGGAGGCTGAGGCCAAAGAATCGCTTGAACCCAGGAGGCGGAGGTTGCAGTGAGCCAAGATTGCACCACAGCACTCCAGCCTGGCGACAGAGCAAGACTCTGCCTCAAAAAAAAAAAAAAAAAAAAAAAAAAAAAAAACACCATATGTTTTCATTCAAATTTCAGCCCTTCGGAGATTTGGGCAAGATATGATGACATTTTGACTATGTCTCTATTAGAAAAAAAGAAACAAATATAAAGGCCTTGATTTAAAATGAGATGAATCCACAATTTATTATCTTAAACTTTATTATAAAGTTGAATAGGTTTTTATAAACATTAATGGTAATTTAAAGCCACTTCCTGCTGGAATGTTTTTGACTATTTAGGTATTGTATCAGCAGATCTGAAAATCAGAGATCTTCTTGATTTATGCCTTTTCGAGGAAATTTCAGGGGCTTTCATTTTCACTGTCATGATTCACGTTGGTTATGTATTGATCTGGGCTTTTTAAAACGATATAGTAAAAAGAAAAATAATGGTAAATCTCACCAAAGTTTCTGAAGTTTCATCTTGAGGAAATATACAGAAGAAATCCAGGAACCCAAGAGAAGCTTGGGTTCACTGTGAGCTACGCCTCTAGGTCTTCTTTTCTTCTTTCCTTCCTTCCACGATGTTTTCTACTTCCCTAAGGAAGTAATTTGAAAGGGTAAGTAATGAAAAGTGATGATGTGTGCTGTCACAATCTCTTTTCCCAAGCTGTTTTCTGAGCATAATTTTCAAACATTTTTTTCTGTATCCAACATGAAATTGCTTTATTTATAAAGAAAAGCTATCTGTATTTGCTGCTCAGGAGGAGAACATAGAGGGTTTTTTGGATAAGTTGTATTTCATTAAGATTTCCTTACTATTCATGTCTGTCTTTCTCTCTCACTCACCAAATGTTCCAGATCAAATAGAAGTGAGTTTCAGCTGCACTTGGTTGCTGGGAAGGTAGTCCACCAGAAACCTGTTTGCTTCATTCATTCATGTGTTCGTGCCTGCAACAAATATTCAGTGAGCACTTATTCTGCACTAAACTCTGTGCTAGATATTTGAAGATAAAATGGCAAAAGGGAAAAAAAATTCATGATCCAAGACATCAAGATTAATAAAGAATAGATATTAAACAAATAATCACACAAATACATAGATGATTATATATTATCATGAAAGCTGTTTACGAAGGCAAAGAACAGGATGCTGCAGTTGAGAGGTTTGGGTGTAAAGAGACAGGGAGTCAAGAGACAGGGAAGTAATTGAAGGAGGATGTAGTTTCAAGGGCAAGTTTTAAAGATGGGTGATATTAGAGCAATCTGCATTGATGGGAAAGCACCAGAGAGGAAGCAGCTGAAGAGCAAGTATGAGGGAGAGTCTCCTGAGAAGAGACACAAACTGTGTCCACTGTGGGATCCCGGCATATCTGGGTCCATCTGGTAAACCAATGGCATAGTCCTATCAAATTCCACCAAGCCCTACTGCCAAACTCTACTATCTATTAATACAAGGGGCTTGTTGGGAGAAAATCCATTCTAAACTCAGGGGGAGCTAGGAACCATGAACTTCACCTCCAGAGGAAAGCCTTAGCCATTACAGACATGTGTAATTTTCAGTGTAGCTGTGTTTGACCAACCCATACTAGATTCGGGAGACCTTCCTACCATCCAGAGGCGAGAAGGAAAGGGTTGTAAATAAAAATGAAGTCTGGAAACATTGAGGTATAAGGCGCCTCCTTCCAATTCAACAGGCAAGAGAGAGCTCATTTCAACCTCATTCTCATCCTCAAACAACTCTGCCATCTATTACAGTGGATCTTTGAACCTAAGAGGGCTCAGAGCCCTTCTAGGGCAACTGTGAAATAGCACCCCAGGCACTGCTATAACCCCTGTAGAAGTGCCCAGCAGAGGAATCAACTACTGGTTGGGCACTGCCCTGCCCCATGGACACAAAATGTGTCTATGGAAGGGGCAGCCAGAGCAGACCTAATTAGAAACATGAAGAGATCCCAAGACATTTCTGGAATAACTGGGGAGTTGTGGGGGAGGGAGACTTTGATAGGGAACTGGAGGTCCTGAAGAATAAGCCAATATAAAAGTTGAGTTGCTGGCTCGACACAGCGGCTACTGCCTATAATCCCATCACTTTGGAAGGCCAAGGCAGAAGGATCACTCAGGCCCAAGAGTTTGAGACCAGTCTGGGCAACATGCCAAAACCCCAGCTCTACTAAAAATTAAAAAATTATCTGGGCATAGCGGTGCACATCTTAGTCCCTGCTAAGCTACTCAGGAGGCTGAAGCAGGAGGACCACTTGAGCCTGGGAGGTCGAGGCTGCAGTGAGCTCTGATCATGCCACTGCATTCCAGCCTGGATGACAGAGTTGAAATCTCAAAAAAATAAAATGTTGAGCTGTTGCTATTAACAGGACCTCATTCATACTCATAAGCTAGCTGAGGACTAGGGAAATTCAAATTTCAGTATGTACATATCAATTGTATAAGGATGTATATAATGTGTATATATGAATATGTATATGAATCATGATGCTAAATGTGTATATGTGTCTGTACATTGTATAATAAATGGGTTTAAACACCCCTGCTCCCTGTCAAAATTTAGGCAATTATTGTTCTAGAGTTTCTCCTCTCTCTGTAATAGGAAATTCCACAATTTCCCATAATAATATTTTCCAGGAACCCACAATGTGAACAGTAAGGAAGTTTTTCTAAAATTCAACCCAAACTTATAACTCTGTAACATAAGACTCATTTCCTCTGGTCTTTAAAAAGTAGGATATTACAGCTCTGTGACTCTGACTTCAGGTTTTCCTCTGTGCTCTCCTTGTCTCACATCTGTTGTTTTTAACCTTGAGGCATGTTCAGTAAGCTCCCCAGTCCTTCCACCACTCATTACAGCTTTTTAATATTTTCCAGGCACACTCATCTTCCTTTTGGATTCCTGTGATGTATTTTCTTCAATACATTCATATAAACTTGGCACCTTCAAATCAAGTGCCTGGCATACAATCAGCTCTCAAGAAATGTTAGCTTTATTAAATTATCTGCATTTATTGTTTTTCTTGCTTATTTCTGCCAAATTCTATGACATTTGACTTGCTCTTCCTGGAGAAATGGTATAAGCCCTATTGGCACAAAAGCTCAGGACATAATTTATCACTTGCTCTCCTAAATGAAAAGCCCAGTTCTCTTAAGTCTGCACCATTTAAGTTATTATCCCTGACTGGAGAGCCACCATGTGAATGCTCCTAATTAGCTAACGGCAGAACTCTCTAGAATCCGGATATTTAGCAGGGTCCACTTAAGTCAGATTCATTGGGTTTACAATTCCTGAATGGACCTTAAAAAATGGAAACTCTATTTTTGAAATGGTAACACGAGCACAGGGTAAACAATTCAAACAGTATACTGAAAAAGTCTTCCCAGCTCAGATACCCATTTCCCTTACCCAAATACAATTACCATGGCCAGTTCCTTGTGTATCCTTCCAGAATATTATTCTCACTCTTCAATATAAAAGGGTCTTTAAATACCATGTCTAAAACCAGAGTTCGTAAACTTGCCTGTAGGCCAAAGCTAGCCTGCTGCCTGTTTTTGTGTAGCCTGAGAGCTTAGAATGGTTTCACATTTTCAGATGATTTAAAACACCAGAAGATTTCATGACACATGGAAATTATATGAAATTCATATTCAGTACCTATAAACAGTTTAATGGTATACAGCCACACCTACTTGTTTAGGAATGTCTATGGCTCTTTTCTCCCTACAGTAGCAGAATTGAGTACAGTAGTTATAACACAAGACTGCACAGTTCAGAAACCCAAAAATATTTACTGTTTAGCCTTTTACAGAAAAAGTATGTTAATCCCTGCCTTAAATAAATAACAGAAGGGATTCAAACAGTCAAAGTAGTATTAGAGGTAAACTATGAATAAATGTAAAAATTACCTTGGGGATATAAACCCACTTAATTAAATATATCTCAATAGTCAGATTTTCTTTACCTCTTAACAGCTTCTTACTGGGATTAGCAGCTTTGGCCTATTTGCCAAGAGTTTCCATATACATTATCTGTCTAATTATGGTTACTTCGGTGCCCTTCTTTCTCTAATACTCTTCACTTTCATGTTGGGGAAGGAACTGCAATAGAAGAAATCCCAGAGACCTTTGACTTTACCTCTGCAGTCTTTTTTTTTTCCTTCAAATCCTCGTTTCCATATAAGGAGTCATTTTATAGGTTGAGAATAAGTAATCGGTCTTTAAGTACTTTTGCTCATTTACCTTTTGAAAGACCCTTGAAAAATAATATGCTCCTTCAACACACTTTTTGGGTTGACATCTAATGTCTTTCACTAAAAAATAAAATAGTTGCAAGAAATATAATTTCTGATATATTATGAAAATTGACATTTTTACATGTTGTTGCATTACTTTTAAATAATTTAATTAAATATTAATATCATAGCAACTTTATGCCCTCCCTTATCCTTTTAAGAAATAGATGAAGATTAACAGCTGGAAACCTTTTAATCATTCCTGTTCTTCCTCAAGTTTACATTTCATTCCATTCCACTTCACTGCAGAATTTTATCCTAAGGTAGCATATTTCTACACTTGAGAGTCTATTATTGATCATTTTATTACATTTTCTGCCACTAAAATATGTATATAAATTTGAATTTTTTAAATTTCTAGTGACTTTAAGATTTTAAACGTTTTTTAAAATTTCAGGATTGAGTGTATTACGAGGTATTATGAGTACTCATTTAATCAAAATTATGCCTTGGCTATTAGACTGTCTCTACAAATGGAGCAACTCATTCTCCATGCCAAAGGGCACAAGTAGAGAAAGCAATCTATTGTGGAGGAGAGAGCAGCTAATCAGAAAGAGAAACATTATGGCCGGGTGCAGTGGCTCACACCTGTAATCCCAGCACTTTGGGAGGCCAAGGTGGGTGGATTAGTTGAGGTCCGGAGTTCAAGACTAGCCTGGCCAAATGAGAAACCTTGTCTCTACTAAAACTATAAAAATTGGCCAGGCGCGTTGGCTCACACCTGTAATCCCAGCATTTTGGGAGGCCGAGGTAGGCAGATCACAAGGTCAGGAGTTCGAGACCAGCCTGGCCATCAGAGTGAAACCCCATCTCTACTAAAAATACAAAAATTAGCCAGATTGGTGGCAGATGCCTGTAGTCCCAGCTGCTTGAGAGTCTGAGGCAGGAGAATCGCCTGAACCCGGGAGACAGAGGTTGCAGTGAGCTAAGATTGCACCATTGCACTCCAGCCTAGGTGACAGCATGAGACTCTGTCAAAAAAAAAAAAAAAAAAAAAAAAGCAAGAAGGAAGGAAGGGAAGGGAGGAAGAGAGGAAAAGAGGAAAGATGGGAGGGAGGACAGGAGAACAACATTGTCAGGTGACAGCCATGGTCAACAGCTGGCAGAACACATGAAGTAGGGGAAGCAAATCTCCTTAGAAATGCAGTTAAAGGCCAGACATAGTGGTTTATGCCTGTAATCCCAACACTTTAGGAGGCCGAGGCAGGCAGATCACTTGAGGTCAAGAGTTTGAGACCAGTCTGGTCAACATGGTGAAACCCCGTCTTTACTAAAAGAACAAAAATTAGTCAGGCATAGTG